CATCTCTTAAAAAATGTATTTAAAACAATATTTGGAAAATTAAAATTTTTTGTGAGGTTACATTTAGCTTAAACGGATGCTTTAAAAATTTCTCTGAATGGTTATCACTTAAAGTTTGCACATAAATTTTTTCAAGGAAATATGCATATAAGAACGTAAAAAAAAAAAAGTAGATTTTTGACATCTAAGCCCAAAAAAGGGGGGTGAATAACTATTTTTTCAATTTGCAAAGAACTCTAATACATACTTTTGTAAAAAAAAAGTTAAAAGAAAATCAGGGCATATCAGCATTCTAAACTTAGGATACTCATTAAGCTTGCGGGTGCTTGTACTTGTGGTATCTTCGTACTTGTGTACAAGGTTTAAAAATAAATTTTTTTTTGGTATTTTTATCAGCACTTAATCGAAAATTATTGGCAGAAGTAAAATAATTTTTGCATTTGTCAGTATTCTAAGCACGTCCAGTAGGGTAAGGTGAGATTTAAAGAAGTAGAGAGTAATTTTTTAAATGTAATTATATGTATACTTATAATAACGTTGTTTTATCGGTTAAATATATCGATAACCAAGTTGTCCTTAACAAATTCGTGAATTTGGTGTCTGGAAAAAAATCACCATTTGTACCAGTTTTGATGACGTTATTAGATAAGTTTCTTGGTAAACAACATATGTGTATTGACAATTGGATAGAATTTCTCAACAACTTTTGTTTTTTGAACGAATGTTTGTTGACAAAAATTCTGTTGTTAGTTGAGTGTAACAATATAAATATTCCACTAAAATTTTAAGAGTCTAGTAGTGTTCCTTCACAGTGAAAATTACCGGAAATTAACAAAGCTTAAGTAAACGATAAATGAAATTTATAAAGCAGGGATGAACTTAATTAATTTTAAATTGACTAAGCATCAGAATCATTTCAAAAATTAATCAATTGCAGTTCTTTCATAATTTTCCTTTTAAAAATAACTTTTGGAATTTTCGTCATTTAGAAGGAGCTTTTCGAATGTATTTTGTACTACTTGATACATGTGTTTTTATTCACGGCTATCAAAAACTTATTTGTTTCACCGTTTGTTATAATTCTGCAGTAATACAAGCGATTAAAAAAGAGAAAATTTTTATTAAAAATGCTTATTAAGTATGAACACAACGAGGATGTTAATTCACAAATATTAAAGGTGAAACCTAGTATTATCCGAAATTCTGTATTTTTTCTTACAAAAGTACATTTAAATTGTTGATAAAAAAGAAAAAAAAAATTCTCTTTTTCTACAAGTTTGAATGAATAGAAAAAATAAATACAACTAAGAAACCATTATGTTTTGTGGCAGTGCAAAGAGCAAACGATTCACAGCTTAAGCAGTAGAGATTAAATTTTAATGCGTTAAAATAATGTTTGTCTAATAAAAGCGTTAATTTTACCTATAATATGATACTTTTGATAAGAAAAGTTGAATAATTAGCATAAAATAGTTAATAATCATGAAGAGTACCCGGAACGTACTTTTTACGCTAACGCTAAGATTAAAAAAGTCTTGCATTAATAACGTCAGCTAGATCATTGGTTTTAGACCTACAAATGTCAGGATATTCTTACAATCATTTTTTTTCTAGTCAACTAAATTATTTGATTGTTAATTCCCATTTCTTGAAACATTATACACATTCATAATACACTAAAAACTTTTTGTGTAATGTATGATGGCTTAAAAAAGTTTACTCAAGATCAAAATATTATTTTACTGATTAAAAAAAAAAAAATTAAATATAAGATTTTTGTAAAATTAGACAGGAATTTCATTATCTGTAAGAGTAAGAGAATATATATGTAATATAATATTGATTTTCATTATCATTACAAGCAGTATTGACACCATGTTTAGGGCACACTAGTGATGTTCAAACTTCAATTCATTCTAGAGTCTCTGATGCTTCTTGAAAATAATTACTATCCCTGTCATGATTCTTGTATCTGCATAAAAAGTACCTTTAAAATTGTTAAATGATCATGTAGATACATTAACTTTGTATAGTAGTAATAAACATCTCAATACTATTACATTTTAGATTCACACGTAAGACATCTCACATAATTTCAATGATACAAATGATTGAGAAGCTTTAATCCTTGATGGTATTTTCATTTTGAAAGTAAAGTAAACACCGATACGATACTTCTCTACAATACTTAACAATTTGTTTCTTCAATTAAACGATGCAAAAAAAATTATTTTGTAAATTATAAGCAAACAATTACCTAAATAAAACTATGTAACACAACATTTAATTATGTTATTATGTCCTTACGTTAAATCTTTTTACAGCTTGAGATGCTAGTCAAGAAAGAGTTTTCCCACTTTTTATTCAAATCAAATAGTTTAAAAAAAACTTGAGTATGTGTATAAACTTTTGTTTTGAGAATTTATTAAATGTTTTTAAGTACTGTGCATAAATAAGTGAGAAATTGCGTTGCCTGCTGGTACTCGAAACTCACATTAAAGTATTAAATGCATACATGCATATTCAATACAAAAATGTTTTAGCCTACATTTGAAAGTAAACAAACGTACATACATAAATATATTTCATATTCAAGGTAAAATCTAATTGAATAAGAATCATTTTGTAAATAATGTAACGTATTTAACGGTTTTTAAATAAAAATAAAGTTATATAGTCAAAATAATTCAAAAGTTATTTCAAAAAGTTCATCTTATTAAATTCATAGAATATGAGAAAATTGTCTCTGTAAAAATAAAAATAAATGTATGACGATGTATCAAAACATGTGTTACTTTTGCTAGTAAAACATTGATTAAAGTTAGTAAACACTAATTTTAAGTACATGATTTTTCGTTGAATGGCGTAATAGTTGGTAAAAATTTAACGTAACACTTGATACACTTACAGAAGTTTTTGTATTTCTTGAACATTTTTAATTGTCAGTTCTCGTTTTAGAAGAGTTGCTTGCATACAGCTATCTCGAGCCATTTTTTCTGCTGCTGTATCTACTTCTTTCTCATGTAACTTGTATGTATTACAATGTAAAATTGGTACATCCACTAAATCCAGCACTCTATTCAGATGATTACAGCCCAAGCCAGTGTTAATGTCCCTGAAACTAACTATTTTAGACAGCAGTTAATATATTCAGATACAATGGCAGTAACTAAGGGCACTCAACATGTGAAATAGGTTGTAAACGTATCTATATGTATGAGTAAAAACAATTATAATTCAACTACTACTACTGAGGTGTTCATATCATAGTATTTTATCTCTTTCTTCGACTTAGATTTTGTTTAGATATTGTGACTTATGTCGGTAGCAATCTTCGTTGTAGTCTGATAATTCTCACACTCAACTTCAAATACAGACGCAAACTTAAATCACACTTCATCAACAATATTCTGTATAGACGCTGTGTAATTACATTTCTTGCAAATCAGTTGCTTTCCCAAGGTTTTGATGTGAACAACTTTTTGTCGTTCGACGTAGTATTTTCGTTCGGTGTCACTCTTTTCAGGCTTTAGGCTAGACTGCTCTGATTTTCTGCTGGTCCTACAACCATATATAAACATTACTTAAATTTTTTCAAATCCACACTTTTCTTCCTAAAAGAATTTTTTTCCTGATGCTTTGTTGGACATTTTTCCGTTAAGAAAAAAGGCATTTGTTGATAAGCAGACTGCACAAATGGATATATTGAGTATGGTATGTATGTGTTCTATATACTTATAATCGGTAGGTGACGTTGCTACGAGTATAAAAGCTACTGCGACAGGAGTGCTTTAGATATTAGTTAGTCTGTCGTAACTCTCTTCCAACTTTCTATACAGCTGAGGAATCTCCGTAAAAAGGTCGGTACAGCGAGTTTAGATAGTTTATTGGAAAATATCCTCCGATTAAACTTGATAATAGTTGGGATGTGCTTGAGACAATCACTGCGCCCTGCAAATAATATCCGGTAGAACGGATGGCCGAGTTATTTGAGGGGAACTTTGCAAGGGGCGGGTATGAAAGACTCGCATACTTGGGAAAAAAAGTTGATTATGAAATAACGAACACGGAAGGTAGAGAATAGGGACATAGAAAACGTAAAAACTCTGCATTGGATATACGTGGAATTTTAATGCTACTACTACTTCTGAACTATTCTATGGCTATCTAAAATTGAACCTGATGTTTGGAATACCGTAAACTTTTTGAATTGACGTTAGAACTTTTTTTTTTTATGTCATGCTTTTTAGTTTGTATAATTAGGATATGGAGCTTACAAATATTACTTGTAAAATAGAGTTCTGTAGTATATCGATTATACTGTAAACACTAATTCTGTATTCATCATTACTATTTTAATTACTCATTTATGTTCACATTCTAATTAGTCAAATTATTTGACTATATAAACACTATTTATTAATGAACCTGTGTGTATCTGTGTTATTTATTGCTTTAACTGACTTGCATGTTTTACACTAACAGCTTGATACAATAATAATATGAATGTCATTAATATTTTAATTATTTGTTTATTGTGTATAATACGTATTAAGTGTACAATTTGTATTGTGTTAATGTGTGTATTGTACAATACAATACTACAAAATGGAAAGGTATACATTTTTGCCACTTATGCGCTATACCTAAGTTACTGACTTAAGTATAGTACTATTAGGTGTAGTACTCTCTAGTGCCTCCAATAATAATGACTGCCAATTCACCAATAGCAGGTGTGGCTGTCAATTATCGGTGTTCTTCTACAAAGCTTTATATACATGAAAACGTGCTAATCTACCGTCTAAGAAACTTTATACTAAGCTTTGAGAAACATTTATTAATAGATGAAACTTGTCATTAGCTTTACGAGATTGTACTTCAGCTTTTTGCGAATGCAGACAAACAAATCTGAATTACCGCATATAAATTTAAACAACAGAAATTGATAATGATTATATTGCAAAAATATTATTGGCTAAATAAATACATTGTTAACAAGATTGTCTTTCATAAAATTGTTTTTCTTTATTCACAAAAACAAGTGTATTTTAATCAAAAATAATTATGTCTATGTTTCCAAAAACTCCAACGTATTTTTGCTTCTAATAGTCAGATGTATACTATTTTATGTCCATAATAGGATGCTGAGGGACATTAGTAGACAACATGCAGCTACGTAAGGACTTTTTCTCTCACCGATCCTAGAAAATTTCCAAAACATTCCTAAAATCCTAAAAACAAAATAAATGTTTTAATGAATGTACAATTGAGTATCAAGAAAACAAATTACTAGGTTAGAGATATAAAACTTAATGTTAAGTTATTACTAAAAAATCTAGTTGATCCGTACTTAGTGATTAATAAAAATTTTTAGAAGAACTAAGATACTGAAGAACATGTAAAAAATTATACAATGCGATTCAATAAATTTATTATTTATGCGCTGGATGATGACTTAGTCAAAACTTCTACTATATGAAGACGTGATTCTGACAATGCGTTATATGCTCAGTGATAAAAAGATAATACATAATCGTTTCTGCTCCTTAATTTTAATCACTGTAATTAAATTGACGATCATAGCGTAACCAGATGACACAAAAAACAGTAAAACAACAAAAATTTATCTTATTTCCTGATTCAATTGCTCTGGAAAAATCATCAATCATTATTTGGTTTGTAGTGATCCTGTCATAATAAATACTTCTAAAAACTCCTGAAAATTTAATTTAAGAAGACACGATTCCTTAGGCCTGGTTTAATTTGAAACAGTGTCAAGGCTATAGGTAAGGATAAGAGGATCTGATGTTACGCACCAGGCAGGGATTGCCGGCATCTTACCAGTGAGGAGTGGTCCCTGAAAAATAAAGCTTCTTCAGGGATGCTTAGTAATCTGGATCTGATGTTACGATAGAGAGCGCCGGCTTAACCGGCGAGAAGTGGACAGCCTGAAATATGGAGTTTTTTCCGGGGAAAGGCTAGACAGTGATAAGTGGGACCAATGCACCATTGGTGCAAAAAATGCCAGGTTAAATGAAAATGTGTTTCACGAGAGATATTACCACTGTGCCCATGGTATAATAGGTACGATATCGGTTAAGAGATTGGTAAATGAGTGCGGCAATACACTGCCATACATGGATGGCTTATGGGTGGCCCCAGTGATTAGGCCAATAGGCTGTCCCCATGACCCGGTAAATAAAAAAAGGTGTGGGTCTCGGAACCTCTGTCGGAAGTAAAACTTCCAACTCATAAGTTATTAAGCTCAGTATAATAGAAACTAAGAAAACAAGAATACACTTACTTTTACTTTATCTGATTGATATTAAGGAAAGTAATAGACATAGCTATTTTTCATTGTGAAGTTGTAATTTTTCATTTAATTAGTTTCACATAATTACTTATAATTTAATTTTAAACTTTACCCATGCTTTACTAGTTTCTACTTATCTCAAAATTGTTAATGAGAATATAGGTTTCGGTAACTTAACAATTATTCTTATAACATATGATAGAGAATAAAAAAAAAATCAATTCATAGATAGGATAGGTAAAATGTAACATTCTCTTTGAGATCTAATTCATGTTATTTTTAGAAATATTACGATTGTTTGTGTGAATCCATGTAATGCATATTTTTCCATCATAATACTTAATTTCTATACGTGGAATTATTTTTCGCCTATCTAGCTTTTCTTTTGAAATACGACTGTTAGTCTAATTTTGAGACGTTATTTTACAAAAAAAATCGTTAGATAAACGTCCGTATTGATTTTTCAAGCACGCTATACTAAATACAAATTTTTTCTGACTTGTTCTTTTCAACATACAGTCGAAAAACGAGAAAATTGGGGTTATGTTTGTGCATAGTCCAACCATTCTCTGTTTTTGTACGTCGATCTTGCAGTTCTCTTTTAGTGAATCCACAAAAATGGTTATTTTGGGTTTATCTAGCTTTCTTTTCGAGATATGACTGTTCTTAGAATTTTGAGAGAATATGTTGACAAAAATTTTTTGAAGATATTGTAAATATTCATATTAAACCTTATTACCCATATTAATTCTATCATATCTAAAATCAAGGCGTAAAAAAGAAAAATTTCCTTTTACTCGTTTTTTTTAAGATACAGTTTAAATAAGAAATAACTGAGGTTATGTTAGGGCGCAGTCCAACCTCTCTACATTTTCGCGCCTTGATGACGTAGTTCCCCTTGTAGAACCCCGAAAAAATTGTTATTTTTAGCCCACCCTGCTTCCCTTTTGAGTTACGGCATGTTTTTTTGTTTTTTAAGGTTAGGTGGTCATATGATACATATTTAATACTTCATGCACGTTTTTCTACATACATATATATATATATATATATTTTATTGTGTATAATACGTAT